CGACATTCAAATGACGAATTATTATCACAATCAACTATTCACTATTTGAAGAATCAATTCTGAAAATATTGTGTAAAGGCTTATAAGCACTTTAAGGGAGTTCCAATGAACCCCCTTAATCTGCCCCTTACTTCAATATTAGTTTTCTCTGACTGTATCTTGATTCTTGATTTTTGGCATTCACATCATTCTACTACTAGGTGTATTTTCATTTTACTWATGCAAGGTGTAAAAATAGCCAGCATTAGGAAAAGATCTGACCAGACAAGTGCTRATTCTAACMAGACATTGTCTGWTGACCAGCTGTTAATTCAACCCCTGGGTATATGGATATTAATAAACTCAGTGGTAACCTACAGCTAAATTAGCTATGGTAACACATGTKTAACAATGTTTGGCACATACCTCACTGAYGAGTGCTTCTGTTAGTTTGGTATGACCATYKATAACTCCACTACCATAARRAKAARAAAAAAAGTCAGAGTGAAATAAGATGAAGRATATTTWWTTTTAKTTTTAGYTTTATTTTCCATATAATGCTAGATAAAAAAATGATTYTCAAGGGAATGAGACATGGACTGAAATGGAAAAAAACATTACTAACAGTACATACAAGCTGAAAAGGCATCCATTTTTTTAACAGGGTATCAATTTTTACCAACCTTTCCACATCAATGTTGGTAAGCACAGATTTGCAGTGACGTTCAAACAATGGAAGTCTCTAAGGGGGAAAAAAATTTCAATTATGAAATGCAAAGTTTACAAGTTAGGGCTAGTGCCCAATGAAAAATCTTAAAACATTTCTTCTTGGTCTTATAATCTACCTGCCTTTGAAATTGTCCTCTATAAAGTGAAACCAGAATTTCAAGGAAGTTTGAGAAACATTTGTTCTAGATACAGTAATACCTTCTTTACACCTTTTTGCTGTTCATTAACYGCAAAGGAATATTCATTGAAGCGAARAAGCATTGTCATTAGAGCRAACAAGCATACGATAAAGCGAACAGAGTCTCAAGAGTGCRATGGAAYTTTTATTAAGAAATTTAGCATTGAATTTGACAATCATGAGATGGTCAGATGCCTTACATCACTCATAAAGCAAGGTTACATAATATAAAACTTATATGTATATATATATAAATATGTGAAAGCTTTATAGACTGATGTCTTACACCACTCCCTATTGGGATGGGGTTAATTAGGATTGAACTACAAATTTATTAAGCAATATCATCTGATAATTGCAAACCTGAGTGATGAGTATTTCTGCTGTGACTGGGTCAAGAGATCCATACACAGAATTCAATTTAGAAGTTACATCTACARTCTCATGAACCATGGTAAAGAAACCACCACTGAAATGAAAAAGAAAAGAAATAATCATATGAATTAATCAAAGGATCAAATTCCATTGCAGGCCTGTGAAGGGTATCATTAATATTATGGTGAAATGTTCTTCGATGCTATAATAAATAGTGTTGGACTTACCCTCCAAACCCTTCCAAAGCAAAGGCTTGAACAAGAGGCCATTTTTCAATTACAAAAACATCAAACGGCTTTTGCACATGATCTGTGTAACAGAGCATAGCATGAATGAAATATTTAATTTATATCATCATTCAACATACTATTTAATTTCACCCAATTCATTGTACTAACTGTAAACAATTAAGTGGTGGTGCTGACAATAGTTTTAATGACGACAATGATGAAATTGAAGATGCTGCCCCTTGCAATGACAACAGTGGTGGTGGTAGATTTTAAACTAACTGCCAAAAAAATTGTGGTTTATCAACTTCTTATCCTAACATGCTTATTTTTCTGTTTCTTTATTCATGAATATTTTGAAAATGTCTGATACCAAAGTCCTAAAGGATAATGCATTTATAGGGTAATGAGAAATTACATTTTATGATGATATATATAAATATATATTATGCACCAAATTTAAATATGGTGACAAAATGACTAGCAACTGACTGACTAGCCTCTCATACTAGCCCCTCATGAACACGAGGCTAGTCAGTTGCTAGTCATCAGTGCAGAACAATAGTAAATTAAAGTGATGGCCATATTTTGATTTGGGGTATAATCATGATGCATTTTCCAACTCTAAACTCACCACAGCCATAAGGAATACCAATCTTAGGACATCCCTTAACCATAGAAATAAAACTCAAGATTTTGAATTCTTCAGTTTTCTCGTCATCATCCTGCATAGAAAACGATATAACAGCAGTATTATTAGGTTCTTGCTAGTCAAAGATCAAATGGGCAGGAACTTGATAGAAACTGAAAACAGTTGTGACAGGGAAATCAGGCAATAGACTATTGTCAATCAAATAAATAATTGTTTGGTATGTTATATAACAYACTCTGATTGACAATAGCTTATTGCCTGATTTCCATGTTGCAATTGTTGTCGCAATTAGTAGGTTGCAATAAAAGCAGTCAGTTGTGACGTGTACATATACCTCCTCGTTAGTCAAGCAGTGAAGATGCAGGTTTCTCCAATGTCCAACAAAGGGTAAAATCAGAGAGTAATTAAGAGGATTGCAGTAAATGTGGACACTTTCATGCTTTATGAAAAGAACCAAATCTGAAACAAATCGAAATGAAATATCACTAGGTATGCTTATGTATGAATAACTATTAATATTTATTGTACTGCATTAAGCAATTTTTATRTGGGTGAGAACCACAGAGAACAGCYGACTRCCATGAAATGGTTTTACATTGTCTTCCAGTAATTCATCCAGTAACAACACATACTTTTATGGTACAGCTAAAGTATGGCTTCAAATAATATTTGTCATATCATTTCCCATTCAGAAAAACACTCAAAACTGGTTGCTTAGGGAATAAAGTTTGGACCAACCTTCAAGTGYTTCATCTGTCAATCTAACACTAAAAAACATGAAAAATACAATATAGGTATGTCAAAATTGGACATGAAACTGATACCAATGAAGAAGTCAGAGATAATGAACAAGAAAATATGGACGCATATCCAAATGTTAAAAACTTTGTGCATATGGAATCATTTCATCTAGGGGATGAGGTCTGAGACTGAAAAATATTATGATTATAACTACAAATTAAAGATGCTTTCAAAACCCGCTAAAAAATGAGGGGCATGTGCTCCCCCAAGGAATGAAGTACTGCAAAATCTATTGCTCTCCCTAATTCTTTTTATACTGACTCATTAGTATATATTATACCTTATACTGTCTGCAGATAAGTCACAGTATCCAAACAGTAAATAATTGAGAAGTTGCTTTGTTCCACTGTTGTACCTATAAAGTATATTAATATACCTAGGTTAAGGTTGTATAAAGTGAAAGATGTTGAGGCATTCAGTGGCCATAAAAAGTATCAAGAGAATGATATGCTATAATACTGCAGCTTTTTGTTCTTCATTGTGCGCATCATATTATTAGCATTAGTTAGAGTAAAGCATTAATCATTCAACATATCTTTTTACTTTATACTGACTATAAATATATTAATTGAAAATGAAGCTTCTAAATCAAGTAGATTGTGCTTAAAATAATAGCTGTTCTTTGGAAAATTTCCCGTTCAGAATTAGAACTAATGTCTAGTCCAATCTTCACCTTGCCACTAGTCATCTTGAGCAGGAACATTGAGCCAGAAACGAGGAAYGTACGTATGACTTAACTAATTTGACCAGTGATTATGGCTGGGAACTGATTGCAATGGCTATTATTTTAAGTCCAGAGTTGGAACAACAAGAAGCTTAATGGAGCATGCACTGGGTTGCCAATTTATTCTTTTCATGCACACTTAAAGTGTTTTCAACAATGGCAACATTAAAACTCTCTTTATTTAAGTACCTAGTTGTCCTTGGCTATACTAGTGCTTTATATTTAATATCCTAAATGGTCTTGAGAGCAGAAACTGGGCATTAAAGGACTCATTATATATCTAAAAATTATTTAATATTCTATGCACACAATGCTCAACTCATATGTTGATTTTATCAGGATATTGACTACACTCGAATGATATCATCAAGTGATACTCTATACGCATTAAAAAAATAATCTGACAAAAATTCATACTCTAGCCTAAAGAGTACTATCATAATTACAGTAAAAGATAATGAAACTAGAAGTTAGATAACTAGCAAAGATATCATTAGCAATAATGAAGTAATTTGGAAGCTCTCTTACCTGCTATCAATACCTACAAATGAAAATAAGATCATTAGATTAAAAAATTAAGATAAAGAGCATTAATGTGTTCACTTAATGAGCTTTTCAGAAAGCTTTTAAACAATTAGTGATCTAGACCACAGAGGAAAATGTTCTTAAATTTAGTTTATAAAGGTAGGTATTTGCAATCAATACTAGTTGTATTCTTATTTAATCATATATTGTATAGCTACCTATTAATCCCATATAGGTAACTGCCCAATTATTTTCATAACATTGTTGGACAGTTTTTGAAAATTGAATAATAATWATTATTATTCAATTTTCAAAAACTGTAATTGGCTTTTACTTTTATTTTTGATTGGACTCATCCAATTTTGGCAGTCCTTGGAATTTTCTTTGTCCAATTATTTCTTAATTTGGACAGCATGGAGAGCTAATATATATAATAATTTATTATTAATTATTGGTAATAAATAAAAAATTAATTATTGCTATTCATCACCCCAAATACAGCAGTGGAGCAGCTAAATAGGGTTGAACCAACAGGGGCAGTGGAGCACAATAAAAAAATTGGAAAACATATGAGACTGGTATGGGAAAAAA